AAAAGGAGCAGCGGCGATGGAAGATGAAGAAGATGAAGATGAACTTTAAAGCAAACATAGGTAGAAACATACTCTCAGTGTACTGAGCAGAATGTCTAGACAGATTCAATGTCGCTGTGAGTATTAATTCTCAACAAAGGTACGATGCTAAGGTTTTCCGGATCCAAGTAACCCAGAAAAACGATTGATAAACATGATAAATGAAGGACCTGAAAGAAGACTTTGGAACATATCAGGATTCAAAGAAGTGCTGTATCAACTGCAGAATTCAAATGGTCAAAAGAACAGCCTTTTGGTCACACAGTCTCGCATAACTTCTATACTGTGGTGGTCATTCATTTGTGAGATGAGTTGGAAAAGACATTCCATCGCTATTTAAAGCTAGTCGGACCAACAGAAATACGACTTCCGTTTCCCTACGATAGTATTCTTCAATGGAGATGTCCATAGTCCAGTGGTAGTCATGGTACACTTTCAACTGCATCATGATGATAATATTGCGCATCCTACATTAAACAAAAATATCAGGCTGTTATCAGCGGCTTTGAGACACTTGCTATACAGTACTACTCGAGTTATTCTGAGTTGACTAAAACTGCCTGATGACACCTACGGCGATCTGCGAGATGTCATCGCTCGCACAAAAACAATCTATCGGCTACGGAACAGCGGCCTGTATAACCAGCTGACGAGAATCACTCACAAACACGAAAAAACCACAGCGTTATTGCATGCAAGACAGCATTTTACAGACAGGCCGATGTAGTCCTCAACGCATGTCTGATTGTGGTTACAGAAATTTTAGCACTGAAAAGCTGCTCATAAAATACGTTGCCTGAAAATTCACGTTTACTTACCGATACAACGATGGTTGTCAAGGAATAAGTGCAGGGAATCTTGTGAGAATCTATTACCGTATGAACCGAAGGACTGGGAAATGTATCCGCATTCATGTGGTCATTCCAGATGAAAAATTCCTCAGAAATCCTTGCTAAAAAGGCTCGGACTCCCTCAACATGTACAGAAATACCAACGGCAAACCTTCTTCCGATCATCACGCTGCATATGCAGCAATCCAATAAGTCTAGGCAAACTGGTGCTCTAGAAGACGGTTGCCCATTGACAAGAAGCCGCAAAATAATTGCTGTTGAAGTCAGAAGTTTCGTCCCTACCCACATCATCCAAGTGATTCATGGACGTAAGGCGTTTAAAATTTGATTGCTAAGATTTGCCTTTCGGATCGCTTTCAGAGACAAGAGACACATCGCAGCAACTCCTTGCCAAAA